AAGAATATTGAGCCACAAGTAGACATTTTGTTTCATGTGGAATTCTACAAGTCTGAATCCATGTTTTTAAGACATCTGTACGCTGCACTTTCAAGATGGAACTGCTCAACCATGGCACCCGCTGACTGTCTGTTTCATCATGATATGTCTTCTAGCATATAAAAACACCATATGGATATGTTAACAAGGTGGAAAAAATGGGATTCTCCACCTTGTGGTGGTGCTGGAAGAAAAGTGAGGGGATCACTCACTTAGGTCCTTAGGGGTCATTTTCTGAGCTTTTCAGTGGAAATAATGACAAAAAAGACGCCAATTTATCCAGTGGTTGTCAAGGCATTTGATGGGGATCATCAGAGTCAACATATCTCAGGTCCCAACTAAATCACTGACCGACATTGCCGTCCCTACAGCAATAATACGAGGGTGGCTAAAAACCTGGCTTTGATATATTAAAAAGATGGAGTTCTGACTTTCATTTGCGTTAATCCATTCCAGACTGGCCAGACGGAGAATGCTGTGGCTTTATAAAGAATTTTATGCAAGCAATTTACCATCTTCAAAAAAAGATGAGCTCATAATATAACCAGCACAGTGGTGTGCCTTTAGGCAGACTTCACCCCCTCCAATGAGTCAGAAGCTCAGCTATCCGTCATATTTACAGTAACTGTGCACTATACAGTAGGCCACCTTGCTGTAGGGCAAAGCAAAGTGATTTTTTTTTTTTAATTTTATTTTTTTGTAATGTTATCTTAAGCAAGCGGTTTTTAATTGTTAATAAGACGATGCACATTCAATCAGATTGAGGCCTTTATGCATAAGTAAAGTTGGTAACAACAGCGAGCTAATCAGCAGCGTGCATCTTGTCCTCCTGTGGGACGCCAAGTAATTATGAATGAGCAGGAGCCGGCAAAGCGAGTTCACTAATGTGCCTTTAGTGCTGAAGATGAGGAGAGGAGCAGAAAGATATAATTCTACTATATAATGATCTCAGAAAGGGGGGAAGGGTGAGTCACGGAGGCAAAGAGAATGCAGCAGGGAATAGATGGAACAAAATAAATGGCAGCAGAAAGTGCAGGAGGAGGAGAAGAAGAAGAAGAAAAAAAAAAGGAGAGGAAATGTAAAAAACATATTCCCCCGTGACAAGCAACTACTTCAAACAGTATCTTTGGATGAGCCAGTTGAATATTTGACAGCATGTAATATACACGGGCTTCCTATCCAGGTTTTCCTCTGTCTTCATGAATATGGCTAGAGATACTGGTATCAGGATGCTTGACACCCTGGGGGGAAATTTCCAGATGTGGATTTTTACTCCTGCTCAAACCAGGCGTAAAGCAGCTCCCTGCAGCGGTGATGTGCTCCTGTAGGCGAGGAGTCGCTGCAGTCCGTCAGATGCAGACTATTTTCTTTTTTTTGGGGGGGTAGGGGGGGGACATGCTGTTTGGTGATCTGCCCGGCTTCACTGTGTGGTTGTTCACCCCGTGGTGCTGGGAGTCGGCACACACACCTTCTGCCGGCGACTGAGACATTCCCTCACGGCACTTCTGTGAAAGATCAAAAGCTCGACATGATGGCTGTCTGACTCATTTTTAGTGTAAAATCTTTTGTGGACTTTCAGTGTCTGCTCTCTCTCTCTTTCCAACTTTCGCTTTGTGTGTGGGTTTTTTTAGCCCGGTGGCACGCTGTGAAAGACACAGGCGACTCACACGTGACGAGACGGAACTGCCAAGTGCTGATTGATCTCTGACCACTCCACTCAGCGCCCCGGCCACCCCTCCTCTATTACCGCTTTTAAGCACAAATGACAGTACCTGCGGATGTTAGTTGTCATGGAATCAGAGCAGAAAATCCTCTCATGTGGGACTTTGATGTTTAAGTTAAAGGCCAGCATGTGAGGTATGCATGTGTGTGTGTGTGTGTTACTGTATGAGCATCCCCTGTGCTCTAACTCCATCACAGTGTCGCCGAGGCTGCCGGTCACATTTCTCTCCCCTGCGCTCATACTTTCATAACAGATCATCTAACGGTGTGCAAACAGCGCAAGGCAATCTGGAGGGAGAGACAACACGAGTGCAACACGGCTTAAGCGGCGTGTGTAGGTGCCGACGACTCCCTCACACCGAATCGTCTCGCTTTCTCTTCGAGGCAGCAGCGACACTGGCATACAAAACGCCTGTCATCATCTATTAGAACGAAAATTGGTCACAGGAGATTCCGCCACGATGTACGAAGGCGCGTATCGCACACGAAACTCTCTTGTCAGATGCGTCCAGCCTTCACGAGCCTCTGCATTCCACATAAACAATGATCCGGGGAGAAAAGGTGATGACATTATCTGCTATTATATATGACGGTGAAATGAAAATACAGATTTTAGGCATCAATATTTCAGCGGGCCTGCGAATTGCCTCCAAGACATGTGCTGCATTATTGAGAGCGAGCTGCTTGCAGTTGAAGTATGTCATGGGTGATTCTCATTGACAGGAGGGATTCTTTCAGCAGACAAAGAGATAAGAGGTACAATAGACGTGCTTTTCGTCTTCCTGGGTGTCCCCCAGAAAAAGGGCTCTGCATTCAAGTCTGATTCAACAAATGCAATAATACATAGTAATTCTTGCAACACAACATTTCCAACTACTGGTACTGCTGTTGCATGTAATTCACTGGACTAACAACAACACAGCTGAATTTATTGATTTAAAATGACAAGAAGGCGGCGAAAGTTTCTGAGAAAAGCGGGTCAAAGGTCAACGCGAGCGTGCACACAGACACACAGTACGCTTAGGTCTCGAGTAATTTTGGCAAAAGCCTTTTCAAAGAACCGCTCTGCTCATTCTGTGTCCAGTTCTCTGCTGAACTCTTCGCCGCTGTTCATACCCTTAAGTCTGAATGCATTACACCACAGTGTTTTCAAATTCAGAGCCATGTTAAATATTTGTTCGCGTTCACAAATTAATAATATGCCCTTACGATTTAGTCATGATTTCCCTTTCATTGACCATCATTGGTTTTTGTCCAAACTCGCCACCTAGTGTACGGAGAGTGGCACAGCAGCGAAAGTCAGTCACGCAGCTCAGTCCGTGTACTGTGCATTTTATCCGTGGTAGTGCATTAATCTCCTTTACTTGAGTAAAAAAGTAGCCGAAAAAACTCTATGACAAAGTCTAACTAAATCTGATTTACAAAACAGACTAAAAGTACGAGTAGTGCTCATGCAGAGAAATGGCCCCTGCGAGTGTCATTATTATAGATGAGAATACTATTACTGCAAAATCGATGTTTAAGCCAAGATGCTCCAGGCTAAGATATTTTTTTAATGCGCTGGCCAATTTTGAGAGTTTGGGCTATTTTGCTTCTTTCAGACTAGTGGAAAGAAAACACTCAAAATGCACATTTTGGTGTTGTTTTTTTTTTTAACAACAATTTGCCTGTTTGCAACTGTAGATTTCAATTACAGCACACGTCTATAAGGGCTGTTTTCTCTAAATGAGTTTTTTTCTCATACCCTGAATCAGAAATGTCACTTACATACACAGAGCCTTTCAGTTTTATTCCTGTCTATGTCCTCAAGGTTTTTTACTGAGGGGTTTGTTCATGCTTCACTCACAGTCTGATTTATAGAACATTTTGTTCCTGAGGTTTTTTTTTTTTTTTTTTTTTTTTTCCTGGTTGCCGGTGTTCTCTCACTTGTGGAGTAATAAAAAGAAATATCCAAAGTCCCTTCTATAAAAACCTTTGACGCTAATATGTCAGAAAAAAAAAAAGATGCAGCATTTTGAAGGCTGGTTTGATCCAATCTTCAATCCAGTTTCTGTAAATTAAGTTCATCTTGTTTTAGATAATAGCTTGTTTGCATATGTGCACATAACAGCTCAGAAACTATGTGATACAAAAACATAAAAATGTAAATCGGCAGCTGTGGAATGGTGATGAAAAACGTTACCCCATTCACCCGTAGTATCTTCCACTTCCAGTTTACATCTAAAATGACCTAAAATGCCAAAAATCATACAGCTTTGTCTTTAATTTCTGCTAAAAACTGCATGCAGTCTCCTCAAACATGCACTGTTAGAGCGAGTCATTACATTCGGCTACACTGAGATTAAATTATCAGTCTGGTTTAACACTACTTAAAGAATAAACGACCCCTGGATGGACTTCTGTAATTTGCTGTGCATTTGTTAAAGGTGCAGTCAGCCACTCTAACCCAACACACCTCATATATCTCCTAACAGTCTGCCAACCATCCACTCTGTGTGTGTGTGCTAAAGAAAACCAAGAAAGAAAAGGTGTTTATACACAGCCCTGGCTCTGTAAATGGAGAAAAAAAACAGACAGATCCACACGCAGCACAAACCTTGTGTACAGGACAGCCTTTTTTATCCCATCCAGAGGATACAGTGAATTCGGACGACTTTTAAAACAGGCCTGCTGTTTTCGCAGAGGATGGCAGCAGATGCCCCAACTTGTAGAGCAGGTGTCAAAGACAGCTGCAACTGCTTCTCTGGTCCCTCTTTCCAATGGGGAAATGTGGAGCCGGTTTCGGCACGACAGGACTCCGTTTCTTCGTTCATGGTCACAGACTTAGACTCCTCCGTGCAGCAACCGCAACAGCAGGTCACCACGGGCGCTGGCTCCGGCTCCAGCAGGGGAAATGATGGAGTCTGCAGCCGGCTATATGTTTCCACCGGCTAGTAAAAATAACCCAAACAGCTAACTCTCACTGGGTTTTAACTCTGGTTGTATCCTGGATGCTGTTCAATGTTTGATGACATTTGTTTGGCTTCAGCTATGAGGAAGACGCATTCACTTCCACAGATATAAAGCTAGAATATTTCTCTTTTAGCCAGCTAGTAAAATTGTTAGTATCGGCGGTGTGTGTTCATGAATTTGTGGGGGCGAGGCCTCTGAAGGAAGCGACGTGTTTGGTTGTTGAGTTCAAATATCAACAAACTCGCTCCACCTTTAGGTTCAGTTTGTCTGTTAAAATCATGCAACCATTTTCACAAAGTTTACTTCTTTATTTTCTTTGTTGGCGGATATGAACCACATTCTAGTTCAAAGTGCAAAGAACACACATTTCACTTCACTTGAGGCCTTTTAATCTGCAAAACCAAATCTCGTGGAATTTAGTAGTAGAGTACAGTATCTTTGCTCAGTAGTACAGAGAGTAGCTTGGGACTTCAACAAAATAGTGATTGAGCCAAAATAGTTTTTTTTTTGGATCTATGAAAGATGATTTGAGATAGAAGTTAAAAAAAAAAAATAACTCGCAAAACCAAAGCTGTGCTAAACAAAGTGCTTCTCGGGTCGTATTTTGAGAAATGATTTATAGACTCAAATGTACAGTCAAAACAATATTCAGGAATGTTTACAGAGTTTATCAGGGCGACCTTAGCTCCGGTCCTGACGGGAATCGCTGTTCCCGTGCTGAGATGAGACTCGTTTTAAGTAAACTGTTCGGAAAGGAGACAGTGGCAGCAGAGGATGAAGTTCAGTGTTGTAGAGGCACAATGCAGCTTCACTCACATCAAAGTGATTTGAATTTGGCCGTCAGCTCGCGCTTCCAACCGAAGCCCTCCCTGCTCGGACGGTGACCCTCGACCTCTAGCCCAGAAATGTCCGTATTGAGTCGTCTCCACTGGCCACTACTGCTGCTGTGGTGTGGTTGCTGGGACGGGCAGGTAGAGGGGTCGTCCATCAACGGGACAAGCTCAGCGGTCCAGCGAGCGTTTCTGGATTGCTTCGGCCACCACGGTGCGCAGGAGAGCGATGACGGAACGAGGGTCGTCGCTGCCTATCACGGCGCTGCCGGACACGATCATGTTGGCCCCGGCCTGGAGGAAACGTGAGCACAGTGTAAGGGAAGCTTTTCAAGGGTTTATGCGAGTAGGCTGCTATATTTGGATCTCTTACCTCTGCACACTTGTGAATGGTGTCCGGGCCGACCCCTCCGTCTACCTCGATGTCTAATGAAGGGAACTGACTCCGCAGCCAGCTCACCTGTGCACGGAAATAAAATAAAAAGAGCTCAAAACCTGCTTGACACATTTTTTTTATTATACAAATCAGTATGACTACAAAGAGGCACAATGCTGAGGATTACATCACACAACCTTTTTGGCAGTCAGACAAAACTACTATCATCTAAGCAACTTCCCTCCTTATAAAGAGTCTTAAAAAGAGTGACAGAAACAATAGAAAAATAAGAGAAAGAAAGCAGCACTAAGAATGAATATGTTGTTTTTTCTTGTGTAATACAATATGTAGTGGTTCTGTAGTTCTGCAAATATGCAATGAAGCTTTACATGGCACTTTTGTAACATGAGTGCAGTTTTACATTCTGTACACATCTCCATAATGAACTGATGATTATCTTGTCAACATTATTTATACAAGTTGTCTGGCATGTTATGTATTGGTTCACTATCAGAGGGCTGTACTACACAGTGAGGTTAGTTCGGTTAGCGAGATTTGTTGAGCCTGAAGTCAGACTTTTCAGTGTCACACAGGTGGCTCTCTTTTATCCTACTAGATCACCATGGCAACTTCTGCTTTGGAGCTAATCTGGTCAGGTTGAGAGTTTCGGATTTTAAACAGCGGTAAGAAGCGTCCCGCTTTAACCAAATCATTTCCTGGCGATTCTTTATGAGCGATACAGATTCTAAACACAGATAAGAAAACTGAGTGTTCGACTGGTGTTTATCACAGACATTATCATTCATTTCAGTTTCACTCTGAGTTGGCCAGAAATTTAAATGATTTCCTGCATTATGGGACATTGTCAGACCTAAATGCACTTCCATACAATACTGTGTTTAAATCTATGAATATATTTAAAGTTTAACAGGTTAAACGCGCAGCTGTCGGTTATAAATAAGCAGCTGCATTGATCAGTAAAATAAATATATTGCACACATTTAACAGTTTTCTACCAGCATTCCTCTCCTGCATCATTTGCAGTAGCAGCACTTTTTACCATCATACTCGTCCTCATTGTTCTCCATTAAAACAACCTGTTGACTGAAGCTGCTGCATACAATCATTTAATTTTGTGCAGAAGAGTCACATGACGCCGTACACGCCCACTTTTGTATTTCGAAGCAGAAAGGTGACAAACACCTTTGTGATACCTGTTATCTCTGACTGGAGGTTTAGTTTTTTGTCTTACACGAAGAACAAACAGCTATGTCAAACTTTCTCTGGAGTACAGCCCTGTGGTGTCTAACCTCTGTGTACAATGGGTGTGTAGTTTGTTTCCTTTTGTCACAAAGGTCAACGTGTTCATGTTTTCTCTGTAACTGTGCTGCCATGTTTCGTTATATTACCGGGGTACAAATAGGCAGCAAAATGTGGAAACAGCTGCAGAGGTTGTGCACATTTCAAATGTGCTCTCTTGTGGGCAAATTTTGGGGTGTTGTACATTTTAGAGAAACAGGAATCTTGCTACACCGCTGATTTTAATAATGCACGCTCCTCCAGCTTCTTCCATTCTCTCCTCCCGCAGCATGATGTCAAATCAGTAGGCTGCATGTTCTCCACAGAGGCGTATCTCATTGTGTATTAAAATAAAAGCAGGACCTTATACTCTAGTAGTTTAGACCCAGCAACTGTACTGCAGGAATTAATGTGTGGATTTAATGTATGGTAATCTTCTGAGCTTCGTCTGTGTGCATTGTGGTTAACCTGTGGTTTGACCTCACCTTTGGCATCATATCCTCCATGAATTTCTGGCCTCCAAAGCCAGGTTCAACAGTCATGACCAGAGCCATGTCGATCTGATTAGCCCAGGGGGCGAGCTCCTCCACCGTGGTGCCGGGCTTTATGGCCAAACCCACCTACAACATTCACACAGCGTTAGTACAAAAGAGTCATAACATGCGGTCACCTTAACACAGCGGTATCATCTGGTACTCATACAAATACGCATTATTTTTCAGAAACATCATGTGGTTTTCTACTTGCATCTTAAGATCCATCACATGTTTATTCTTTTAGTTTGTGACATTGTGCTTGACATGTGATTGTGGCTTCACCACACCTTCATGCCGCTCTCTTTTATCTCTTTGATGAGGTTCCCGGGGTTGGTGGTGGCCTCTAAGTGGAAGGTGTACTGGTTGGCTCCTGCTGCTGCCATCGGCTTCACCCACTGCTCCGGCCGAGACACCATCATGTGCATGTCTGCAACATAAACGCTGTCAACTCCAATACAGCAGAGCAGGAATCATTCAATTCACTTGGAACATCTGAATGAAGGCTTTTAAAGTGAAGGGGGGGCTTCATTTCCTCACCAAAGAAAGGCTCTTGGCCTACTGACTTCCTCAAGCACTCCACCATGGGATGACCAAATGTGATGTTGGGTACAAAGTGCCTTTAAAGGGAAGCAAAGCCGCTGTTATGAAAGTCCTTCATCTTGCACAAGCAGCTGTAGAGAAACGTCTTGCTTAAGGTATGTCTAAACACCTCCACACACTAAAAGAGGTATGAAGTCTTAAAATAAAGTGTTTGGCAGCTGGAGATTTTAAAAGCCTCTAATTAAACCATAAACTCCAGTTGTGTAAATATTAGCTCCCAAGCCTAACTTTTGGCCAGCTAGCTTAGCTTGTTGATGTTAGCCAACTTTGGCTCTGCAGCACTGAGCTCATAATTGGCTTGCTAGCCGTTAGCATGCTAGCTAATGTAGCCTCTAACAAACTGACCCGTCCATGACGTCCAGGTGCAGATAATCTGAGCCGCACTCCATCATCCGCACACACTCGCTGCCCAGACAGGACAGGTCGCTGCTCAGGATGGACGGACCGATCTTCGCACTGTAAGCCATGCTGGTACTCCTGGTGCTGTAAGCATGAAGCCTGGCAGCTAAAACACGTAAAGGTCGCCACATCACGAAGCGCTACTTCCGCTCGTGGCCTTCAAAATAAGTTGTTATAGAGCCTTTATTAATGCCACAATCTGGAAATTTGCAGCAAGTGCTGATTCCAGATGTGGATTTTCAGATTTTGCGCAGATTCCTCTGGATGTGGAAAATAACAATATTTTGCATATATTAATAACACTGCACAGATGCTTGCATTAGTGGAAATACTGAATATGTACTGATCTTATCTATATTACACAAATAAAGTTAATTTATATGGCAGCTTATCGTACATAGCGGCAATTTCAAGTCCTTTACAGGACAAGGCAAAACAAAAAACAAAAAAAACAAGCCAAAAAATAAAATCCAAACTGCAGTAGAAAAGGTGAAATTAAATAAATAAAAAATAATAGAAACAAGCTGAGGAAAGTGTACGTAAATTTTATAGGATGATTTAAACTGATTGATTGAGACAGCAGAAAAAATGAAAGATATGAGAGATAAAGTGTAAAAGAAAAGAATGAAAATGTAGTAAATAAAGTGCAGCATAAAATTATTTGAAAAAGTACCAACCTTTTTGTACAGAGAATCTTAATCTAAATAATATAAAATCTATTTCTTGTTATTCATATATCCTAATACATGCATAAGGAAAGACACAATTACTAAATAAGTAACGTACTTTACATCTCATTTCATTTACAAGCATGTTCCATTTATTAAGCATCCTGGTTCTCCTTTGCACTTTATGGTCTCTAGTAGTTTTATTTTTACAGCAACATTTCCCAACCTTTGATTTCACTCTGTGTGCCGACTGGAGCTTGATAACTGTTCCTGGTCCTTGTTCGAGGCTCACACTTCCGCCTTTACAATGAGACAAACCTTGCATTTAAACGCTAGATGGCGCATAACTCATATGGTAATGAACTTTAATCTCAGTCTCTCACATTGGATTCAATTTAAATGAGTGTTGATTACCATGTAGATCACAGTAGTAAAGTCTCCTCCTGCTTCTCCATGGTGCACAGTTCTTATTGGACTTTTCTTTAAAAATATCTCATCTGATGAAAAACTACCTTTAACTTGTAGGTGTGAAGTAAAAGTTGTTGAAGTTTACTTCTGTCATTCCAGAACAGCAGCAGCTCAGTGGTGTCAGAGCTAAAGACACTGAAGCAGCACGTCTAAAACAGGCTTATACAGTCACAATAAAACCATCTTTGTAGTATTTTTGAGCTGAAAAACTGAAAGGCACATTCTGTGGACAAGAGAAACTTTCACAATATGGGGCCTCTACTGTTGTGTCCTCTACATGCTATAATTAGTTGCGACATATTCTTGCAAAACTGTGGTTCTTATGTTGTTCTTCTGCCCAAAAAAAGAATAATGGTTGAGCATTAACAGACAATTCTGTAAACCCAAAATTAAAACTTTGAAGAATTCTTATTGTCTGCTTTAAAATGACCAAATAATAAAACAGAAAAGGCATGGATAAGTTTCAAGGACAAACATTTTTATTGTGTCTGTAAAATGCTTATTTTTAAACCCAGTAGTCCTGAAGAATAAGCCAAAAACATATATTATTGTCTACCTACTTCTATCAGTGACTAATGGCACGACTGTGAGGTCTATCAGTCTGATCGTGTGATGTCAAATTTCTGTTTAGTTGGCACATATTTTGCAGGGACAGCTGTCACTTCAGAAAATATGTGAGTTTTAATGAGTCCCAATGTTCTTCTGGTCCTATATTATAGTATTTTTGTCTCCTATAGTTTGGTGTCCTCATCGCTTTTTTTGGTGTTACATTAGTTTGTCGCCTTCATCATCTTGGATAAAGTCCAGTGAAATAGTTTGGATGTTTTTCAGATGATTGTGTAAGTCGCTGTGATTTATAAGGAGCAGAAGGCTGGGGTTTTAAAAAAGCCTCGCTGCAGCTCTCTGCTGGGGCTCAACCCACAAAGAGCAACGCTCATATACCCAGATTGCTTAAACAGAATCTGACATTTATGAGTTTTGCCCACGTCTTGTGTTACTGCAGCGAAGATGGAAACACTGGTGGCACGGCGTACCCTGGTAGACATGATATATGCCGTTTTTGAGTCGGCCTGAAGCAGAGTTTGTCGGCGCCACAGAGAATTGGGGCCTCAAGAGACTCGAAGGAAGGTAGTAAAAGAAAAAAAAAGAAAAAAAGCTTTGACAGCCATATTGTGGACCGGTGCCATAGTTGCAAGGGCCGTTTTATAGGTCTGTCCATACAAAAGTCCATCATAGTAAACTCTCTGTTGAAAGTGTGTGTGTGATGCTTAAGAGCAGGGTCGATGGAAGATTATTCACTGCAGCTAATTAAGTGATTCTGAGTGCTTAAATCGCCTGTTTTCACTTGGGTCACGCTCAAGGTTGATGCATTGCCTGCGCTGGCTGATGCATTTGTGTTTCTGCTTTAAGAGGGGTCATTCTTCCTCCTGCAGTTGACACAAAGACACATTCCTCACCTTTACTGTAAACAGCTATAACACATGTGCACGTCACACGGGCAGCCATAGGCTTCTGTTTACTGGAGGTCCCCATTAAAGTCACCTTTTTTTGGTTTGGCGGAGGAGGAACAGCTCAGGAATGCGACGTGTGCTCATTTTTTGGACGCTGTCAAGCTGTTCTCTATTGCTCATTGTTGACATTTTCGCAATTTAAAACCACTTGAATAAGCAGCACTGTAGCAGTGATGTACTGTCACATGTGTTCGCTTAGTTTCCACATTGAGTTGATATGTAAGAAATCAAAACATCCCTCAGAACTCGCTACGAGAAATGAAATCGACTATAAACAAAACTTTAAACACAGTGCCTTTATAGATTTTCAAATGTTAAATACGAGCATGGATGAAGCCATCTGTAGTGCAAAGGGAATTTAACAGCCTTTAATCACTGATTGCATTCTAAAATTTGCCACCTTGTAGTGCAGTGCCATCTCATGTTACTCAAACACTGTGGTGACAAAGGTGGGCGTTTCACAGATTTAAAGATTTTAGAATGTGTGAATGTACATTTTCTGCCTCTTCATGCTGTGTGAAACGTACTCTGTGATCCTAATGAGCTTGTGGATGAAAGTTTTCTCGTTACACGCGTTCCTGCATCTCAGCCGTCTGTGAAGACAGTTAAAAAAAAAATGTCTTTTCTGCAGCACATCGGGGACAATTACGCGCTGATGTGGATAAAAGCCGAAGACTAATCAATTCCATTCCCCGGCCTGCTAAATTAGTGTGTCCATTGCATTAGCTGTTGCCATTTTTAGGGCTCGTCAACAGCTACGGCAATTAATGTGCTTGTTTATTTCTTAGTGAAATTAATATTTTTCACCTTTTTTTTCAGGAAGTTGGCATAAGGTTTCATCAGCACTTTCAATTATGTCCCCAGAGGTGTAGATTGTAGCTTTTACATGTGGCTAATTACCAGGCGTACAGCAGTGTGTTTGGAGCATGGTGGAGTGCATCATTTACCTGCTATGAATTAATTATCTGGGAAATCAGTGGTGAGCTCAGCTGCAATAAAAAAACATCCTGAAACCAACCTTTCACACAACAGCTGCCAATCTGCAAAGGGGAAACTGTATGTTGAATCCATATAAGGAGGAATTCCTGTGCGCTTTAAGTGCTCCTCAAGATGTGTACATTTACAGTGGGTGAGCTGTAACCTTGGATAAATTGGGTTTATGTCATCCTTCACCTCAACGATAAAAGGCAGGAAGTCAAATGGTGACAATGCTGCTCTGTTTTTTATATTTATTGGCTGATAACTAAGAAGTTGGTGCAACTCCAAAACTTTCATGTATTATCTTGATTGAAACCTTCCTCCTTCGTCTGCCTGATGCCTGAGCAAACAAACAGCGATAAGCTGGTTTCTTGTGATGGTCAGACGTGGAACGTGTCCTTCTAGCCTCTCCCTTCCAGGGCTTTATGTCATTGTGGTAAGTGGAAAGGGAAGGGTGGGGTGGGAGCTAACCTCCCTCCGCTACGTTAACGCTACTGATCAGATCCGTCTTCCTGCCGGTGGAGGTCACAAGGAGCATGTTTGTGTTTAGCGTATCTTTAGTAGCGACACTCTACGTGGAAACTTTCATTAGGTGTGTGTGATGCGGGATATCCGTGAAGATGTTAGAGTAGGATTAGGAGCGAGCACAGCAGGATTGTGTCTGCATCCTGTAACCTGTTACAAAGCGGTTATCCAGTCATGTAGGTATGTATAGAAAGCCTGACAAGGGGGAAATGTATGAAATCCCTATAGATCTCATGAATTTAAGATATAATCTGGCTGTTTCTTACTTTAGAAAGTGATCAGCCTTGCTTGTTATCCGTTACACTTGTCCTCGCTTGCTGAACATTGAAGAGAGGCTTTCAGGAGGCAATGCAGTAGTCGTAAAGAGTCAATGTGGCCCCCAGATGTGTAATCATTAACCCTGTAAAACTTGTGACTTTGCATCCAGTAAAACCAAAGCAGTGGTCTTCATTTGTGATGCTCGCCTTGTGTTTGGCAAATTTGCTTCATCCTGTATTTCACTCAGTATGTCACATCAATACAAGTACATAAAAAAGAATTTGAAATCAATGACGCGGTCCTTTATTCTTAACAGATCAATGCGTTTAGATGCTGTCCTGCCACATGTTGGTGTCATCAGTATAATTGGCTTCCTCTCGGTTATTTAAACAGCACTGATCAATTTATGTGGTGCTGCGTATTCTTTGACGTGACCCCAGCTCACGCACCCTGACCACAGCACACTTCTGAGCACCGGTGACCAGCGCATAACACTAATCGCCTGTGAAAACCCCCTCAAGGGAGAAACGGACCCTTCCGCCAGTCATAATTTAGCCCCTTTATGGAGGACAACACATCACTTCAAAAGGCCAGAAATGGGAGCAGAGGGCCACTGGTGACATTTCAAATTGATAGCAACGGGTTCCGAAAGACTAAAAACGCAGATTTATTGAGAATATTTTTTGGGGATATAACACCAGAAGCCCACCGAGCAGTTCG